ATTAAGGAACCCCCAAAAAAGTATTGGCAATTTATTTCGGCCCCTACATTAAACCTCGGGCTCACTTTCCGTCTAAGCGTGGCTTCGTCGCCAGCTGCGGCTTCTGACCTGCCCCGTTCCTCGCGTTGCACAGGGGATCGCACCTTGAAACTTACGATTAGAGCCGAGCTCCTTTTCAGGGGTCCCTTTAAGGGCTCTGTCCACTGTTCTAGAAGGGGTTGCTATAAGGGGCATGATGGGGGGTTTAGTAATGAGCATTGGAACAGAATTTAGGGGTAGCATATACACCTGCGCACAAACTGTAAGGGCTGCAGGGAATACGATTGGTTGAAGTTGGAGTTTACAGCAAAGCATTAGAGGCTTCCAGCGCTGGGGAACACCCAAACATCACACACTAAGTGCGCAGACCTTCCAACGCCTCTCCTCCCATCTGTGTAATACACGTCTACATGAAGATGTACAGCCAAGAAAGCTTGCCATGCAGGTGTATAATCACGATCTGAAGCTCGGAAATCGTCATCCTTAGACAGACGTTCCCAACCCCAAAACTTGTGAACCGCAAAGCCCACAAGCCTTACACCCCGAAGCCCACATTCGGCCCAGAACCCGTGAACCCACAGCCCCCAATCAGCACGCCTCCATGAAGGCCCTAGGTTTTTGGGGTCCGGGGAAGTGGCGCAAGAACCGCCGAAGCGCTAACCAACAGCTAGGCTTCTAACTAAAATTCAGGGTTTTGGGCAGCCCCATACGAAACCAATGTGCCCACCCTCCAAGCACACAGGCATCGATGTCCTGTCCGGTGCCAAACGACCTGTCACACGGAGAAGGCGCTTCAACACAGAATCCAAAAAGCGCCACTTAAATCCGGGAAGCGGTGAGCCCTCAATGCCAATTCCAGATGCCCCAGCCGGACCAGAACAAGAAAACAGTAGAAACACAAAGCCCCAGTGCCTTCGGATTTGAGTCTTTAGGGCTCGGCTCTGAAATATACCGTTTCGTAAGGTCGAAGAACACAAGCTACTTGCCTACCGAACCCTAACCCTAAACCCTAAACCGCATCAGACTCAGCGACTTAGCTTCCGAAAAGCAGCTGCCTCACAGGGTCGAAACACTCCTCGCCACGATGCTGCTGCCTCCATACATGCATAACTACACATAGTTCTTCATTTTACATCTTCTTCCTTGAACTTCAAATATACTAAAGCCCGAAACCTGAAAGACAGAACCTTGGGTCTTCACACTGCCCCCGTGCCTAGGCCCAGTGAGGCGCTCTCCTTGCAGGGCCAAACAACCGGATTCATGGGGTGAGGGCTCCTGCTTCAGGGTACTGTAGCGACCATACTTATCTTGCAACAAGGTTCTTCAAAAGGGCTCTGTAATGCGGGGTTGCTATATTATAAGAGTATAGTCGAGGGGCTTCATGGATTAGAATAAGGTTCTCCAGAGGGTTCTATAGTTTGGGATAAGGGCTTTTGTATAGGGGCCTTGAGAGGGTCTTGAGGTATGTTATGATGCGGTGATGAAGAGGAACCCAAGGGAATAATGGTGGCATCAGGAAAATGGAGTTTAGGAGTTTCGTGTAGATTTGCGGCTTGACAGGTTGGTTGGGCTTGGTGGCGTAGCTGCATGGTGGGGGAAGGGTGCCTCTTT